CCCACCCCTTCCCGCCCCGCCCCCGCCCCCGGCCGGCTCAGGCCCCGCCCCGGCCCCGCCCGCCGCCGTCACGTGGTGGGGCGCCAGGGCCAGCCTGTTGCTGGTGCTGCCCCGCGGTATTCGTCATGGAGCTGGCGCCGCGGTCCTGTGCTTTCCCGCGGTGGCTGCTGCTGCTGTTGCTGCTGCTGGGCCTGAGCGGCGGTAGGTTCGACCAAAATTCGCAACCGGTGCCTCTCCTCGCTTCAGGGATGAGAGTTTGTTCGTGGGTTTATGCTTTAAAATCTCTTTTCCCCGATTCTTACATTGCATAATTAAATTGCTTTTGAACTTCACATTTTTTTTTTTTTTAATTCAAAGTGGTTTTTCTGTCCTTTTCCGGCCCGGGGTGGTCTGGGGCTTCCTCTCTCTCCTACGCCTAGGTAGAAGCAGCTGTGCAAAAATGTATGATTGGGGGAAACTGCTGATCTCTGAGGTTTTCGCGATCCGAAGGCCATCTCCCTTTCCCACCGTGATCGGCTGCTAAATGAGCTTGTGAGGTCTTTTCATTTTGAGCTGAAATATGTGGCCAAAAAGGCTCTTAAAAATCCTACCACGAATGGGACGTATCGTTGAGATAAGACCCTCATCCCTCAGCTTTATCTGAACAGGCAAGACCACATCTCCCTCCAGCGCGAGACTTTGAGGCAAAAACAAATTTGTATTAATATATAATAGGATGACTTGCAAATTGATTTTGACTCCTTCAGCAAGATGTTTTCTGGTCTCAAGGCTGAACTGAGAATTTGAATTGGCCACAAACTTGCCTCGTGATCTTAGGCCAGTTGTTTAACAGTTCTTGTTTTCCCTTTTATAAAATGGGAATCATCTGTCTGGCTTTTGAGCTTGTGTCTGGGAAATGTTGTAAAATATGTTGGCCCCCAAATTTTAGCAGTGGTCACTGCCAGCGAAGGGAGAAGGGCCAGGGGTTAGGTGAAAAGGGACCTGAGCCTTATCTGTCATTGCCAAGGAGACTGTAATCTTGTGTTACTTGTGTATAGAAGCTGATAGCCACATTTATAATATTTTAGCCATTCTCTTTGCACTTCAGGACACCTTTCTGACTTTCTTAATCTCCAGTGTAATCATTTACAAGACACCGCTGTTGTCTCCTTCACTGGTCCCATCTCCTCTCTTTGCTGTTGGGACCACTGTTTTTTTCTTTGACAAAAGGGCTTGAAATTTGAGAAAAGAGGAAGTAGAAGGCAGAAAACACCAGTTCTCATCATCTTTTAACATCAGCTCTTTTTTTTAACCACAGAATAGTTTTTGAGAAAAAAAATATACTGTAACTTGAAAGTTGTTACTTTAGCAAAAGGTGACAGAGAAAATGTATTTAACCTGCTCTTTATCGATACATATTTTGCAGATGCTAAAAAAATTAACTAAGGCTGCAGTCACCAGGGCCTGTTAGGAAATGGGCCTGGTATCACCGCCTGAGGTCCACACCCCCACCCCCATCTGTGGAAAAATTGTCTTCCATGAAACCTGTCCCTGCTGCCAAAAAGGTTGGGGACCGCTGAACTAAGGAAAATTGGAGTTGGGGGATTATTGGAGATCTATATAGAGATATCTTTTTTTCTTCGATTTAAAAAAATTGATCAACATGAGTAAGGAAAATTACCCTTTTTCATATTTGTTGCAGATCTTTCTTTGCGGCTTGCCTTTTTATTTTTGATGTACAGAAATTTTGTTGTGTAGAAATTTAAGTTTCTGTCCTCAGCTGTGTGGATATTTTTCTTTACAGTCTCTTGGGTTTGCTTAAATCCTTTCCCCATCCAGACATCAGAAAAATATGCAACTATGTTTCTGTATTTTTTTAATATTTAAATTGCAAAATTTAAATACTTGATCCACTTGGAACTTATTTTGCTTTATAGTGTTGAAAGGACCTAAATTTCTATTTTTTTTCCCCCCCAGAAAGGTAAGAGTTGCTCTGGTACCATATATTGAATAGCCTCAGCTCTACTAATTTGTGATGCCTCTT